CAGGTGTGAGGTAATAGCTCATTGTGGTTTTAATTTGCATTTTTCTCATGACTACTGACATTGAGCATCTTTTCATATGACTATTAGCTATGTGTATGTCCTCTTTGGAGAAAGTTATCTATTCAGGTCCTTTGTCCATTTTTAATTGGATTCTTTTTTTGGTACTGAGTTTTGAAAGTTTTTTATAAATTTTAGATATTAACCCCTTATCAGATGTGTCATTGGAGAATATGTTCTCTCAGTGAGTTTATCCGTTTTGTTGATGCTTTCCTTTGTTGAGCAAAAACTTTTTAGCTTGATGTAGTCCCATTTGTTAGTCTTTTGTTTCCCTTGGCCAGAGGCAATAAATCAGAAAAAATATTGCTACAAGAAATGTTCAAAATTTTACTGCCGATGTTTTCTCTTGGGATTTTGATGGTTTTGAACCTAACATTTAAGTCTTTAATACATTTTGAGTTTATTTTTGTGTATGATGTAAAAAGGTGGTCTACTTTTTTTTTGCACATTTGTCCAATTTTCCCAACACCACTTATTGAATAGACCATTTTTACCCCATTGTATATTTTTTGCTTCCTTTGTCAAATACTGACTATGGGTTTCTGGGCTCTCTATTCTGTTCCATTGATCTATATGTTTGTTTTTTATGCCAGTACCTACTGTTTTGAATACTAGGTCCTTATAGCATAGTTTGATATCAGGTAGCATGATTCCAACTTTCTTCTTGTCAAGATTTCTGTTGTTATTCAGGGTCTTTTATGATTCCATATCAATTTCTGGAATATTTGTTCTAGTTCTGTGAAATATGCCATTGGTATCTTGATTGGAATTGCATTGTATTTACAGATTGCTTTGAGTGGTATGGATATATATATGTGTATATATATGTATGTATATGTGTGTGTGTGTGTGTGTGTGTATTGCATTTATCTTCAGATAGAGCAGGAGAAGGAAGAGAGAGAAACATCAATGTGAGAGAGACACATCGAGTGGTTGCCACCCACACGACCCCAACCGGGGCTGGGGACAAACTGCAACTGAGGTGTGTGCCCTCAGCGGCAACCAAACCTGGGTCTCTCTGGTCCGCGGGCCGATAGTCTAACAACTGAGCCAAACCGGCCAGGGCAGTATGGATATTTTAATTGTTAATTCTTCCTGTCCTAATATTCACATGATATATGCTTCACTTATTTGTAATTTTGCTCAATGTCTTCAGTGTCTTATAATTTTGTGAGTACAGGTCTTATATATACATCCTTGGTTAAATTTATTCCTAGGTATTTTATTCTTTTTGAAGCAATTGTGAATGGGATTATTTTATTAGTTTTCCCTTTCTGATCGTTCATTTTTGGTGTATAAAAATGCAACTGAGCCCTGGCCGGTTTGGTTCAACGGTTGGAGCGTCGGCCTGCGGTCCTGAGAGACCCAGGATCGGTTCCCGCTAAGGGTGCGAACCTCGGATGCAGTTTGTCCCCGGCCCTGGTCGGTTGTGCGGGTGGCAGCCACTTGATGTGTTCCTTTCACATCGATGTTTCTCTCTCTCTCTCCCTCCCACTCTACCTGAACAAAAAATGGAAAAATGTCCTCGGGTGAGGATTAAAAAAAAAAAAATGCAACTGAGCCCTGGGCTGGTTTGGCTCAGCGGTTAGAATATTGGCCTGTGGACCAGAGAGTCCTGGGTTCTATTCCTGCTAAATGCACGTACCTTGGTTGCAGTTTGTCCCCAGGCAGGTTGGGGTCACGTGGGTGGCAGCCAGTCGATGTGTCTCTCTCACATTGATGTTTCTCTCTCTTTCCCCTCTCCTTCCCGCGCTATCTGAAATGCAAAAATGTCCTTGGCTGCGTATGTTGGCTGTGGGTGAGGATAAAAAAAAATGCAACTGATTTCTGGATATTTATTTTGTATCCTACTTTACTGAATTCATTGATCAGTTTTTTACTTCTTCCTTTCCAATTCAGATGCCCATTATTTGTTCTTGTCTGCCTGCTGTGGCTGACTTCCAATACTATGCTATAAATAAGAGTGGTGGAAACAGACATTTGCCTTGTTTCTGTCCTAAAGGGAAACACTTGTATTTTTTGCCCATTGCGTATGTTGGCTGTGGGTTTGTCATATATGGCCTTTATTACATTGAGGTAGGTTCCCTCTACTCCCAGTTTGCTGAGAGTTTTTATCATAAATGGGTGCTGGATTTTATCAAATGCCTTTTCTGCATCTATTGAAATGCTCATGTGATTTTTATCAATTTCGTTTATGTGGTACATATTTATGTAACTGTACCCACCTTGCATCTCCAGAATAAATTTCACTTATATCCTCTTTATTATTATTATGCTCCCTTTACTATTATGTAGTGTCCTTTCTTACTATAGCCTTTGTTTTAAAGTCTATCTTGTCAGACATAAGTATTGCCATCCCAGCTTTTTTTCCTTTCCATTTGCATACTTTTTCTATCCCTTTTACTTTTCTTTTAGTGTGTTTATCTTTCATTCTGAGGTGGCTCTGTTGTAGACAGCATATATATAGGTCTTGTTTTCTTATCCATTCAGCTATCCTATATCTTTTGATTGGAAGTCAATTCATTTACATTTAAAGAAATTATTGATAGGTATGAGACGTTTTGGAGTTGTTTTTTTTGTAAGGACTGTAATGTTTTGGTATTAAGTCATGCTAGTCTCAAAACAATGATCAGTTATCCCTGTTCTCAGCACCTTGAAAGAGTTTATCTAAGGCTGATACTATTTATTTTGGTTTAAGTACCTAAAAGAATTACCCAGTGAAACTGTATGGACCAGAGTGTTTTGCGGGAAGGTTTCTTTTCTTTTTCAACAGTTCAATGTAATATAAAAATTATATTTTATGTTGAGTCAGGTTTAATAAATTGTTTTCCAAAATATTTTTCCACTTCACCTAGATTGTCAAGCTTATTGATGCAAAGTTGTTTACAATATGCTATCACTTTAAGCTCTACAGGTTCTGTGGTAATGTCTCCTTTTAAATTCTTAACAATTGTTAACATTTTCTTGATCTTGCTAGAGGTTTACAATTTTATTATTCTCAGATTTTGTGTTCTGCATATTTGTTTTACATTTTATTGACTCCTCTTCATATCTTTATTTTATCTTACCTTTTATTTTCATTAAGTTTAATCTGTTGTTCTTCTAGCTTCTTGAGATGGAAGCTTAGGGCCTTTTCTTCTCTCATTTAATATTTCTATACTATACACCAAAAATATATTTTCTCTTTTTGCTCAGTGTATTATCTGCAAAGGCACTGCATCCATAGGATATGGCTTCAACATCTACCTGTATGTTGTTTAAATTTTTTTCATCAGTGTTAAATCATCCCCCCAACCCATTGCCCAGTTTCTCACATCGTACTATAACAAGGTCAGTAACTAACCTGATTTACACAACTGCTTTTTTCTTCTCTTTGTGCATCATCTAGCTCGATAAATAATACGCCGTTTCTAAGTAAAAAACAGACAGCTATCCTTAACTCTGATAACCACTAACCAAATCCTGTTAATTCTTATTCCTAAATCTCTTTCAAATCCATGCCTCATTCTTTAATTACCATTGTTACTATCCTTCTTTAGGCCTCAATGTTTTCCTTCTGGACTTTACAATGGGCAGGTTTGTCTCTAATATTTCTCTCTACCAATCTATTTTTCAGAGATCTTCACGAAGTGGAAATTTGATCATGCCATTCCTCCACTCTAATTTTCTTATTACTCCTATGAAATAAAAAAATTAAATTTCTTGGCACTGCATACAACAACAAACATCAGTCATACCTTTCTGTGCACTCTCCATCAATAAAGAAAACATAATTTAAAACTATTAAATGACTTTCATTTCTCCACATGTCAAGTGCCCTCTTACTTTCCCATTTTTTTGTTTGTTTGTTTTAATCCTCACCAGAGGATGTTTTTCATTGAGTTTTGAGATAGAGTGGAAGAGAGGGAGGAGAAGAGAGAGAGAGAACATCGATGTGAGAACACTGATATGTGGCTGCCTCCTGCACGACTTGGACTAGGCTGGGGATAGAACCTGCAACCCAGGTACGTGTCCTTGACCAGGAATCAAACCTGTGACCCACTTCGGTCCATGGGCCAATGCTCTAACCTCTGAGCCAAACCGACCAGGCTCCCATTTTTTAAAATGTGTTGCTCCCTCTACTTGAATGCATCCTTGCATCACTACTATCACCACCATCACCATCATCATTAGAAGCATTTTTTTTATAACTAAAAGGTATTAATATGCTCAATCAAAGACTTTTTAGATATAAAAATAAATTTATTTTCAATAAATCCAAACTCACATTTGTATTTATGTATTTAATTTTATTTGGTATATACCACTATGACCTTATTTTAATTGAAATCCAACCAGGATTTTTTGTTTAGATTAGTCAACTCCACAAAGACAATAATACTGCTGTGGAAGACCAAAAGGGAGGGGGATGATGTATTTATTTACAATTCCTTATTTGTAAACACTTAATCTATATACTGTTACTAAGTTATAATGAGAGAGCTTTACATAGACAAGAAAATGATGCCCTGCATTTCTATTCATATTCAGCAATAGCATATTAAATAGAACATTAGATTTTCTTTTCCATTAGCATTATGTTTTTAGATAATTATCTAAATTTTCAAAAGAGCTAAATATATTCAAGTACTATACAACTAAAACTACATAAGCCAACATATTTGGCTTATAATTTCATTTTTAGGATAATTTAAAGTGCTATAAGCAACCTGGCAATCAACACTTTCTATAAGAACAAAACTACCTTTAAACATTAATTTACAAGATAATATACAATGTTTATCTGGAATAGCTGAAATATCAGCACAAAGTCACTGTCACATGTATAACAGCAGGATTTTGTTTGCATTACATGAAGCTTTGAAATTAACTGATGAATTATTGCCATAATGGCTTATTATTGGTTTCCTACAAAAGAGGATAAGAACTACTATAGTATATTCTTTTTTTTTTTTGAGGTCACTTGACAGTAAGTTTCCATATTCAACAAGTCTACTGAGTTACAATATTGTCTACTATAATCATTTCCCTTTTATAACAGCAAATGCTAATGATAACTAATAACAAAAGAGTCACAAGTTCCCCCCCCCCCTTTTTGAACAGGAACCTATATTTTGGGAGTTGGTGTGCAATAAGGCTAAAACAACAGAACTATAAAACAGTATACTTGACACAAATGTTGTAGAAATATGCATCTGTTTCATAGTTTGTGTACTTATAATACCCTGCTAAACTACAAATATATAAGTAGAATATTTTCTTGCTTGATATATTAAATCCAGTAGAATCATCATGTTCTCGTTCTCCTTTGTCATTTTATAACTCTTTATCAGTTAATTCAATGATGAAAGCCTATGCCCAAACCTGCAGATCATGCTCACTGCAGTCTATTTCAACCAGAATTCTCCTCAAATTTGATTTTTACTAAAATGAAATTCAGAATACCTACAAAATTAATAAAGAGAATATTGTAGTGTGAATTTAAAACTAGAACTCAGTGGTACATAAAGTATGCATTATTTTGGCTTGTGTTTTCCCTTCTTAAGAATGACTAAGTCGAGCATGTTCAAAATTCACCCGTGCCCACCTCATGGATATAGCATTATGTAGTCTTCATTCCCTCAATGTCCCAAATAGACTGATCTACTAAAACAATTAATATAGTTTTAATAAAACCAAAATAGGTTCAACAAAAGAGCACCATCCTTTTAAGAGACTGAGATAACATGGATTGTAGATGAGGTGGGTCACTATGATAGAAATGCTGCCAAATACCTGACAAAACCCAAACTTTTATACTGCATGGACCCACACCATGGTCTAAAACTCTGGGACAGAAACATGATTTTAAAAATAAATTCCAAAACTATAACTGTTATAAATGGTCATATGGATTAATTTTAAAGCACGAGTAACATGTTACATTGTATTGCTTCTTGAACGTCCCAAACAATGCTTGTCCATGTCAGGTTTGGGCCATCACCCTGCTAAGACTGAGAGCACTGTATTTATTCAAAAGCCCAGATTTCAATGTCTTGGATAAAGAAATCTTCCTTCTTGGAAAGTGTGTGATTCCCAAACGTTTTACAAGAATGGCTTCTTCCATGGTAGAGATCTCCATCGAGCCAAAGGGCGAACTCCCCCCTGCAATACACAAAATAGTTGTAACAATCATCTCTGAGTACTCATGCTCCAAGTTGTAAAATAATAATTGCAGAGGCTGTAAAATAATTTAAATGATATATTTCAATATCCAACAACTCTAGTTCATATCCCTTTAAAATACAATCACTATTATTATACAGATCAAAGAATAAAATGAAAGTGCTAAAATTAACTTCATATATCGGGTGTCCCTCCTTAAAAATGTCTATACAAAAAAAGTGTAACTATAAAGCCAGGTGTATTGAAACACATTTCATTTTCAAAATGTAACAGAATCTACAGAAACCCTGTATACATTTTTTGGGGAACATCCTGTATAATTCTTTTGAGACAAATAATGCTCTGTTACTCTTTGCCTGATATTATGGGTTTCTCTTTGGCTCTATGGTTTTAATATACAGGGTGTGGCAAAAGTAGGTTTACAGTTGTTTGTATGTAAAATAATACAATACTTAATAAATAATCATACAAGAATAAACTCGGTTTTGTGTAACTTTTCTGAATGGTATATTTATAACCTTCCCTGTCAAACATTTCATGACAAAGTCAACCAAAAATGAGCGATGAAAAAGCAGATTTTATAGGATATATCAGTGATATATAATTTGGGTAATGCTAAAAAAAAAAAAAAGAATGGCCTGGCCAAAAAACAATGCCTAACCTGGTTAGGCAGTTTGCAACATGACTTATTGTTAGAAAAAATAAGTAAATAAACAACCCAACCAAACTAAAACCTCTGAGTACAGCATTAGGAATAGCTTTGACATTCGGGGCCTCTGTATTCCAGACCAGAAGACCATATGGAGTAAGACTGACTACTCTGGCTTAACAATGAGAAATTTCTGAGAAATCCAGGGTGGGCAAAAGTAGGTTTTTAGTTATAAGTACATGAAACAGTTTATTCTTGTATTATTATTTATTAATTGTTGTATTATTTTCCATATACAACTGCAAGCCTACTTTTGTTCCACCCTGTATTTAACACGAGCTGCTCAGAGGCATAGAAGTTCCACATTTCTGAAATAAAATATGGGGTTAATGTTAAGGGTTCAATCTCTAATTCACTGCTGAGGAAACATTAGATTTGAGTTTGCTCAGGGTCCTATATGTAATGTATGCTGAAGCTGGAATCTGAATGAGGTCTGACTCCAAAGCCTATATTCAGTCTATCACCATCATAATTTTGATTTCTTTGGGGCCCCTGTTTGGAATTCTGGACTATCCAGTCCCTGTAATTCCCATTTTCTGAGTCTACTCTCATTCTTTAAAGACAGTAAACTTGTCTTAATTTGTTATCAAATTAGCCAAAGGTTAGTTTAGTTTGCTGGAATCATGTTTTATAATCAAAATCAAGTTCTGGCAGATGGTTGCTGACATTGTGTATGTTATTTTCAAAGACTCAAAGCACCCTTTAACACCTTGAAATTATAAGCCATTTGCTTGTGAGTCCCTCCTGGAGAGCTAACTAAATCACATATAAGACTTCCATTTTGGGTAGGGCTAAATGACTGCTCCCTCCCCACCAAGAGAAAGCTATAATTGGAACATATAAACATATATGGTGATTCCAACAACTAAAGATAACATCATTTTTAGTAACCTGGTTATGTCCTCCAGAGAAAGCCATAATAACTAACCATGACTATTTTTTAATCACTGAAATCATGTCTTCCAAACACGTATATACAGAAAAGTGGTGACAGAATTTGCTAGAATCACTCAGAATGATAAGTATTCTTACAGGCTAATAAGATTCTGCGGCCTGAATGAATATCCTCAACTGTGGGAAACAAATAACAGTTTTATAAGTTTGCAAATTATTTAGCAAACTTTATGTCTGAGCTTGAAGGACAGAGAGAAATACCAAAGGAAGAAGCTAATACTTATTTGCTAAGCACTATTCGAGAATTCTAGGCTGGGAGGTAGTAGAGCAAGCTACCACCAAACACCATAAATGAAGTTGGGATATTAGAATAGGCAAACACAAGTTTCTCATGTACTTGCTATGCCAAAAGAATCAAATCAAGTTACTGACTGACTCATACTGTTAAAACAAAAAACAAACAAACAAACAAAAACAAAACAAAACAAAAACCTTGAAAACTGTGGAGTGAATAAATTTTTTTTGCAAAAAAAAAAAAAAAAAAAATTTCTATTATTGCCTAAACTACCAGTCCAAATAGTCTCCAGGGAAGAATAAAATGAAAAGAATAAAACCTTTTTTATACATTAGGAGAAATAACAAACCACTATGGTATTTGAAAATTGGATAAATTCTAAGGTATTAGTATATTTCTTTTTCAAATTCTAATTGTACTCTAATAAACAGGATGACTTTTAATTTAAATAGCATTTAAAAATGAACAAACAAATATTCTAACAATGGTTTCAAATACTGCACTTAAGCACCTTCTTTTAAATAAATTATACTTTCTTAGTCATTATATACAAATTAAAATTTTAATGTCAAAACTTTCCAAAGATAACTGATTTTATAAATAACACAAATACATTTTTTAAGTTTCTTAAAAAATCTCATGGTAAAATGTTCAGACTTACCCTCCACCACCAAAGGCTAGGGAATCCATGTCTCCTTTGATAAAAAACATATTATCTCCTGTCCACTTAAAGACCTACATAAATGAAAATAAGCTTTAAATGTGTAGATGAAAATGGTCACTAAACAGAGTTAGTTCTCCTAAACCCCAAACAGTTAACAAAGCCTAGATCAATAGTAAGAGAAATAATACAAGAACAAAATGTTTTGGCAGAAGGTTGTGATGCTCTGGGTTTCACTGTTTGTATGACTAAATTTAAAAGCCCATGATTTACTGCAACGTAATCTTCAATTCTAATTCCTCAAATCTTATTACCTCTTCATACATACTTCTCTTTTCTGACTTTATAGGTATTAAGAATGAAATGGTTCATGAAAATAGTGGAACAAAACAGAAAATCAGTTTAAAACACTGATATAGATGCCATTAACTTTTATTTTAACATTAAACATAAATGTACATTAATTTGATAATACTGCAATGTTTTGATATAGGGCCAAGGTCATTTTTGGGGGGTATATATTTGACTATTATCATTCTTATATAAGCCTATGATACATGTTTATGATTTCCTGTTTTAAATTCTTTAAAGAGCAGTGAGAACATAAAAATACTTGAGAAATCCAAGGGGAAGACTTCTAGACATTAATATCCCTAAATATTTTTTTCTAAGCTTTCATGGGAATTTTACCTAAATCTAATACAACAGCAATTCCTAGCAACTTACCCTTATCAAGTTTATCCAAAGTATTCATTACAGTTTTCAATAAAATAAACTTTAACACTCACTTTCTCAGTCATATAACAATTACATTATAATATTTATAAATAGAAATAGCACAGAAAGTTTTGAGAATAAGCATAACTGAAGCGTAGGCATCAGGTGATATATTTTATAAAGGGAATGGAAAGTACTGGCTAATCTGGTGAGCCAATTAAGTACAAATTTGTTAAGAAAGCTTCTATTGTATTATCAAATCTTTCCTATTTTGTTCACTATAGAAACTGTTCCTAGATACCACTCTTGTTTTTTTTTAACCAAATTTGTTGATTCATTTTTTGAAGATAATAATCTCCACTCTTAGAAAAGGTTTGACATGCTAAACCTTAATATACCTGAGATGCTAGGGTTGCACTCAGTGGTTTAAACAGAATTACACATTCATTAAAATTCATGTATATCTTTACATTTTAGATCCGATTGGCATTAGAACATACTCAATTTAAGTTAGTTAAGCCACAATAAAGAAAAAAAATTGAGTAATTAATTTATAATTAAACACAAATAATTTATTTTTTAGGTTTTTAAGATGTACATCATTAAGCTTATTTAGTCATTAAGTTTCTAGAACTGACAGTTCTTTTTTTTTTATCCTCACCCGAGGATATTTTTCCATTTTTTGTTCCGATAGAGCGGGAGGGAGAGAGAGGAAGGGAGAGAGAGAGAGAAACATCGACGTGAAGGGACACATCGAGTGGCTGCCACCCTCACGACCAACCAGGGCTGGGGACAAACTGCAACTGAGGTACGTGTCCTTAGCGGGAACCGAACCCGGGTCTTTCTGTACCGCAGGCCGACGCTCCAACCGCTGAGCCAAACCGGCCAGGGCGAACTGACAGTTCTTAATAGAAACATCAATAATGATGTGTACTCCTTTCTGAGCCCATGATGTGTGTCTGGCACCATGCCATGTGTTGTATATATAAGAATCTCATTTAATTTTTAAACAACTCTGTTACACTTTATGGTCCCCATTCTATCCACAGAAAAACTGAAGCTCAAAATTACCAAAAAAGTGCTATTTTCAGTGAGTAAAAGGCAGAGACGAGAGTAAAATGCAAGTGCACATGAGTCCAAAGTGCATGTTCCTGTCATTATGCCATCTAATTATAAATTGAATATTGGAATAACCATCCTTACCTCAAACTCTGGACAGAATGTAAAAACAAAGGTCTCTCCAGTACCGTAAAAGCCATCACTCACTTTAAAAGGCTCAGATGCTAATGCACCAAAAACCTAAGGATAAAAAGAAGCATATTGTTTTATTAAGCATTATCCCATTATATACATTTAAGTAAAATGAAAAAAAAAAAAAAAAGAAAGAAAGAAAGCCTATAGAGTTTTATCTATTTGAATTTACAAAGGAAAGCATAATCAGTTGCTAATTAATTCACACTAATGCAAAGTACAAATCATATCAACTATGATAGTTTTAAAATCTAAATAAAAAACAAAAAGATAGTTATTATAACAATTAAACAGACAATCCTAAAAAGTGGCTCACACATTTCAGGAGGACTTACATACACAATATATGTACAAGAATAACATGCTGCTGTTGGAATGTAGCATGCAGGGAGAAAAAGCCCCTTCAGTATAGGTAAACATTCTACTACTAAAAAGTATCTTTCTCTTTATTAGACAGTAAACTCCATGAGGGTAACCCTTGGATCTCAATTGCCATGGCCTTACATAGTACAAGACACCCTACAAAAAAATGAATAAATGAAAAAACATGGACAAGTTGTTTCAATGCTCTGGGTCTAAGTTTCTACATCACAAATGGAATGTAAAGAGTCTGACAAATGATCTCTACAGTCACTGTCTTTCCTGACATTCTATTTTTATAGTCCTAATTTTTAAAATAGACTTTCTTATTGAAAGGTTTATATTTTATGTATACACATATATTATATACATAAAATATAAATGGACAGCTCAATTTTGAATGATCACAAAGCAAAGTCCCACTGAACCTTCATTAGGACAAGAAATAGTATTACTAGTACTCTAGAAGCTTTCCTTGTGCCTCATCTGCACCACCACCCTCTTCCATCCCCAAAGGAAGCCACTAGCCTGACATACCATAGATCTGTTTTGCCCATTTATGAACTTTCTATAAATGGAATCATGAGAAAACTACTCTGCAGTGTCTGATGTTTAACTCATATATGTTTGTGACACTTATCTATGCTAAGGTAGGCATGTAACAGTAGTTCATTTTCATTCCTGCAGATATCTTTTATTGGGTGTATAACCCTGGGAAAGTTGATATAACTCTTTAAGTCAGTTAATTCGTCTTTAAAACAGGGATGATAAAAATATCAATCTTACAGGGCTTTTGATGATTAATTAAGATGGCATATATAAAGTGATTAGACAAGTGTGCACAATAAGCACACTAAAGGTATTAGTAGTGGTAGTAGTGCTTTGTTCTGCTTTTTTTATATTAATACTGCTGTTTCACCCTCTCCCTACTCCCCTGTGCTGGTAATTGACCTGAACTTGCTATTTTCAGAACATATGACTGTTTCTCTTGCTTATCTGTTGTTTTGTTCTTGGTATCACCCTCAGAGAATTCTCTATACCTTGAAAAACTTTACCCATCGCTTCAAGACTGTCAATTTCCACCCTTTCTGTGAACCTCATTCTTATCTCCCCCAAATAGATATGAACAACCCTACTCTAAGCACCTCTTTTTTTTCCTAGGTATTTACTACTTGGCATATTTTGCTTGGCATTAGAGACAATGATACAGTTAACTGTTCTTTTCTACCAAACTATAATCCCTTTGAAGGCAGAAACTGTTTAAAACTTATTTATGCTCACATCTACCTTCTGGAGCACTTAGCATTGCCTTGCATTGTAGAAGTACTCAATAATTGTCAGTTAAACTTAGTAAAATGTACTAATAAAAATAATTTTAATCAAAAGAATATGCTAAAAGTTACTGTTATCTCTTTAAAGGTAAGGTGTTTGTATAGTTATTTTCATACCTGCCCATCACTATCTTTAATCACCATCAGCACTGGGGTGTCTAAACCTATCATTGTTCGATAAAGGGTCTTCAAACTTGTGCCATGCTTCCCGGTACCATAAACAAGAGTCCATGGATAGCCAATTGTTCTTGGTGGAAGATGCTTCGTAAGCTTTGAAAAATAAAGAGTTAAAATTTACTTGACAGCTTATTGTTAGTTTGTGGGATACTAATGCCAGTTGAAATTGATGGTATTTGATAAAATGTAGACTACAAAAATAACAGTAGAAATTATCATTCTCAAAGATACTGAGATGGTTGAATAATAACTGTACATGTCTCAGCCTGAAATATTAATTTTCCAGTAGGAAAAGCAAGAATCATGCTGAACAAAATACAAATTAGAATAGAAACAAGAAACAGGAATTACTTACAGTGTCCTCTGTCTTGATTGACAAAAATATTGAATGACTCTTAGCTTGATTATTAATAACCTCTCAAATAATGGTTGCTAGAGGCAGACTATCAGAGTTACAAATCAAGCTTCAATACTTTTTATCTGGGTGACCTATAACAAATTACTTAACTTCCCTATGCCCAAGCTTCTTCACTTAAAAACACAGTAAGAGTATCCAACTCCTTTAGGTGTTGTAACAATTACATGAAATAATCCACATAGAGTAACCAGCACACAATAAATTAAATATTAGATAATGTAGTGGCTCATCTATATAAACTGCTATTGTTAATTTTTTAATGTTTGCTTATTTAAATCTCCTAATACCTTCTATTACACTAGTTTGCTAAACTGTATTTATCTTTTCTTTATGGGAGAAGATGCCTAGTAGCAATAACCCTGCTTCCTTCGTTTTCAAAACAACTAAAAAGAGGTTGTTTTACTCTTAGGGATACACATTCAGAAATGCACACATGTGAGTGTGTCATACCTTTTCAATTTGATCTGGCAGTAAGAGTTCACTGGGATCACTTAGGTTTGGTCGAAAAGATTCAGACTCCAGGTCTGCTTTCACTGGAGCAATCTGCTTTGAATTTATATCTTCCCTTGTAGTAATCTAAAGAAGTAAATAGCAATAACATATTAATATAAAATTTCAACATGCTTTCAAAAATTTTAGCCTTTTGAGAGAAATAAAACTTTATACCTTAGAAAAGGTGTCTAAAAGCTTTAATTTAGGATTTTAGAAGGCAAAGGATACTACATCTAATAATATCCAATGTGGAAAAAGATCTTTTAACTATAAGATGACATTTTTCTCATCCAGTGCATGAAAAAGGGCAGGTAATGAATGATAAGCCCATACTTCTGTGAAAAAGAAGATCGTTGCATGCAAACTTTAATTCTGCTGATGAAGGACAAAAGTGACCAACTAGTGTGCTTTTTATGTGTGCATTTTTAAATATTTGGGATTATTTTTCTTAATAATAAATATAAAATTTGCCAATAATAATTAAGAAAACTTCCTCAGTGCTAAATTTTTAATTTAAAGAATAGTACAATAAAAAGAATAACTTCATTGGTGTGTATATAGTCACTGAAAAAGTTACCATTTAAAAAAATGCTTTCATTATTTTTATGTTCTAAACATTGAAATTTTTGATCTAGTTGAACCAAACAATTGGAAAGTTAATTTGTTCACATATCTATGTTTTAAATTAGATCAGTCTGATGCATTAAAAAGAATAAATGTTTTTCTTTGATGGAAATGATCTCACTCATATTCTTAAACTGATAAAAATACTGATTAACTCAAAAGAAACTCCTATACAATCCCTGATGTTGACACTTACTTTTTCATATTAACTTTATTTTAATGTATAAAATACATTAACATTAGAAAAGAAAATATAATGAAACATAACCATCATTAATAAAAGTTTTAAGTTGGAGAATAGAGTTCTATTGGAGCAGATAACTAAACACAGCAATGCTCGGCGACTTATGATTCTACACAGAAATGGAATGTGGCTAAATTATTTTGTTCCTTTAACAGATATTTTACCAAACCTTAACAGCACATATTTTTAACCAATACATGTTCTAAAACTGTATTGCTTTTTGATGAGAAGCTATATACTACATTGATTCTTTCAACATCATCATGTTTTACCCTTATTTTGATGATGTGAAAGGTTAAAAAAAAATCCAAGGCATCATGAGAAGCATTCAAAGAAAAGAAAACAAAAAATTCAGTAGTTCTAGCAAAGCCATGAAAGCATATTTTACTAAGAAGAGGAAAACACACAGTACACAAATGAATTCCATTGTATCGCTTTAATTTTTCTAAAAAAAAAAATTATGAAGATTATCTCGCGGGATTTTAAATAATCTATCTAGTTCTGGTGCCTAACCTATGCTATTTTCCAAAGTATTTCTAACACCAACCAGGTATATCAGGAACAAAACAATTTATTTCAGTAACATACTTGATGTGGGGATGACAAAACTGAAGTAACTTTAAAGAAGAGAAAATATTTAAAGCCTTACTAAACATTAAAATTTAAAAATTTTTCCATAGTATCACACTTTCAGATTCTGTTTAGCAAAAGTTCAATCTTAAACCCATTCTTCCAATGTTAAAATTATATGAAAACTCCTCATCGCTCAAAGAAACACACAGTGCTGAGAACAGTTCTAAAGTGACAGAAAATTCCTCTGAGTCTTTTTCAAGTGTAAAGACAACAGAAAAGATAATCCTACAGCTCTTCAAAGCATTACTGTACTCTTTAGTACAAAAAGGAATTTTCTGATGGGCTATTTTAGTGCCACAGTCAAAACAAATCCTTCAAAAATGAGATGTGCCCTGATGAAAGACACTAAAACAGGGAGCAGTCACTCTCTGGAGGGGATAAACTACTGAAGGGGGCACCTGGAGACGTCTGCAGAGTGTGCGCAGTTCTTCAGTATTTAGAGCATCGATCCTGCGGTGATACTCAGCCACTGACACTACCTGAATATGGAGACAGGAAGACAATAATTCCACTGACAATTGAGAAAAATAGCCAAAACAAATTTTAAAAATGGAGAAATTTAAATGGGGAAAGAGAACTGTAATCAGGATTTCTTTCCCAAACTCCATACTGAAAATCCAAGAGATTTATGTATCAAACTACAATGAAATAACATGAGTTTAACCACTACATTCAACCAGTTCATAACATAAGATTTGTCTTATGGACTGTTTCATGTAAACAGAATTTGAGTAAAAAGAATTATAAAGGAAACATGTAAAACATAACATGCTTTGCTAACATCAAAGATTATTATATCTAAAATCTAAATGTCTTGTACAGTTTACAAAGAAAATGGTAATTTCAACCCTCCTCTCCAAATCAGTTTAGTTCAAATATTGTATCCTAATGACAATGCTGGAAAAATGTATTCTAGGCAAAGGTGACAAATATACCCATGCTATAGATCTGTATCAGAAAAAAGGAGAGGAGGAAGCGAGAAAAAGATATCAATTACATTTTAAAACTTGAGGCAGTAAGAAAAATAAGCTCTAAAAAGTAGAATATGAAATTTTCTAAAGCATATCTATTCAGCAGTACCTTCTCAGGCATGTTGTCTACTTCATTATTTTAAATGACTCTTTTCAGTTTTTGGCTCTCCTGTATATTTCTTTATGGTTGGTACTTGTAGCAGTTAAATTTGTGAATAAAAGTTAATGACTTTCCTACATTCTAAATTCCTAAGGGAAATTCTCTATCTTCTGTAATTGCCTAGACCAGTCTCTGGCATAGTGCTGAATTTGAAAGCCATATTTGACAGATAAACATCATTACAACTACCCCCCCCCCCCCACACACACACACACAGATTTTCTCAGGTTGACACAACAGCTACTACAGCTTTTTCAAATGCTGATGTAATTCCCCAAACAGTAACCATCGTATAGTGAACTCCGGTGGTGCCAAAAGTATGTGCTGATTCACCTGAGCTATATGACAAATTCCTCTTGTGACCAAATGTGTAGAGGTTCTGGCCACAAAATGCTGTTAAACTAATCAGCCCATAGAGTTAAGAGTTCTAACCTAGGATTTAAAGGCTCTTGTTCTAACCTACTAAAATGAATTAGCCACCAGTAAAGTAATGAATTAGCCACCAGTAAACTTTAAGGTAACTCTATAAAGAGCTATTTACACATGTTATGAAAGCTATAAAATATATGAGAATAGAAAAAAGGAAAAGAAACTGGACAGATTTCCATTCTGGCCATTACTATTATACTGACTATGCAAAGCAACAATGCATGCAATATGATAGCTAACTCTCTACTTACACAGAAACCGTTAGCGGTTATGATTTCCAGCTCTGGGAGAGAAGATTAACCAGGTTTTGGTCCCTTATTTTCCTATTTTTTCATAAAACAATGAAAATAATAAGAGTACATGCTGAATAGGGTTTTTATGTAAATGAGGAAATAAATGCATATAAAGGATTGAGAGTAGTGCCTAGCAAATGGCAAATGAGAACTACTATTAACACTAATTTTACTTGATCATATTTAACCTATTAACCTAAATACTGAAGGATAATGTCTGAAGAGCCTTCTCATTTATTTTTGGTTTTTACTTTTGATATTAAAATACGTCCATTTTGAGAGCTCAACTATTTTGTATACTTTAAATGACTTATCTGAAATTAATTTTCAATTTCAGTATTAGGTAAACATATTAAAGACCTTTCACTTGAGAACAACAGAATTCTCAATGAACATGAAAAATTAGGTACTAAATATAAAAAGGATAAATGGTGATGGAAGGAGACTTGACTTGGTGTGATAAACACATATACAATATACAGATGATGTACTGTAGAACTGTATACATGAAACCTGTATTTTATTAACCATTGTCACCCCAATAAATTAAATAAAATGAATAAAAATTAAAAACAGTGGCCGTGCTTTTCTATGGTCAGCAAAAGAAATCTCAACAAGGTATTTAATGTTCAGTTATATTTTTCTTTCTTTTTCCCATGGCATTCAGTCTAATCAAGGGTTTCCAAGCCAAATATTTTCAAATTACATGATTTATCTGTTCCTCTGCATACTTCCTATCCCTCTAGTTACCACCAATCTTACTTACACTCATTTCTTAAAGCTCTTTCTTTTACCATATTAAGCACATTTCCTGAATGAAAATGAAACTGAATTATATGTTCTCAAAATGGAACAGTTATAATCGAATTTCATCAACATCACAAGAGTAGAAGTTATTGGTGAGGGAACCCATGAACTGCCATTGTAAACATTTGGTGAATTCAAAATTTCTTTAATGTCACAAATCTACCTTTTCTCATTCATACTTTAAAAAAATGTCTTCTTATCTGAGACTTACAAACTCACTTCCTTAACCTCCTAAGTATTTACTCATGCTGTGATGAAGATACATAAACTGCCAAGAGTCTATTAATTAATAAAGAAAAGGGATTTGAAATAAAATGAGTATAGAAATATACTTCCTCCTTTGAAAACAAAAGAATAAAGAGAGCCTGGCTGGTGTGGCTCAGTGGACTGAGTGTGGTCCCATGGACTGATAGGTCCTGGTTCAATTCTGGGTCAGGGCACATGCCCAGGTTGTGGGCTTCATCCCCAGTAGGGTCGTGCAGGAGGCAGTCGATCGATGTTTCTCTCTCACATCGATGTTTCTTTTTCTTTCTCCCTTCCTCTCTAAAATTAAAAAAAATAAAATAAAGAGATACAAATTCCTAATAATATACATGATGGAACTGAAATTAGTCTTAATTTTTATCCCTTGATAAATTCTTCATGTACAGAATTTATTCCTTACCCAAAAGATTAAGCCTAAGTAGAAAATAGACACATTTCTACAAAATGTCCTACATCATGCTTTTAATTATTAAGGATACACACCTGAGGAAACCAAGCCTTCCAATTAAAAGTGTATTTGCTATCTGACTAAAAAGTAATTTACTGAGGAATACAGTGATCTGCATATACTGCTAAATCCCATCAGAGGAACAGAGTACAACAGAACCTACCCTCTGCAGAATGAAGTGCTTACTCTTGAGTCTTTTTAGCCTTTGACAAAGAACTCTCACACAAAGGTGGTGCTTCCCTAAGCACTTATTTTCACAGAATTACAAATTAAAGGCAGGATTAAATCTATCCATCTCTACACAAAGGGACTAACAACAATTAGAACACAACAAAAGCTGAAAATAAAAGAAAATTTAGTTCCTATTTCTTTAATATTGATAGGTTGTTGTCCATCTCATGAATAAGAACGTATTCTTCTAGATATAAAGATATTTTGGTCAGTCCTCTTTCGGGGAGGTTCCAATATTTCCCCAAGATTATCCCACAAACAAACCCAAAAACCTCCTTTCCCCCAGCTGCTGCCTTACAGAGTAACAAAAGTCTCATAGATATCTGTGAATGTGCCATTTTTATTCCTTACTGTTTGTTTGTTAATCCTCATCTGAGGATATTTTTCCATTGAGTTTTAGATAGAGTGGAAGGGAGGGAGACAGAAACAGAGAAACATGATATGAGAGACACACTAATTTGTTGCCTCCCACAGGACCGACCCAGGCCAGGGATCAAACCTGCAATCCAGGCACGACGTCGTGCCCTTGACTGGGAATCGAACTCATGACCCTTTCATCTGAGGGCCAATGCGCTAACTGCTGAGCCAAACTGGTCAGGGCACTCATTCCTTACTTTTATTCCGCAGTAAAAGCAGATGGGGTAGAAAAAAAATATTACCTAATGAATGACATTTTTACTTACTTTGGTATCCAAAAATATACTAAACAGGCGGAAATGCAAGTCTGAGCAGCAGCCTTGAGATCACATAACCTTTTGTTCTATAATTTCATCATACACAACAAAGTCATATTACAAAATAAAACATGGATTATGTTAAAACTTTGCTCATTTTTGCTTTAAATTAATACAATTGCTTTTGGCTGGCCAGTGTGGCTCTGTGCACCAAGAGGTCACCAGTTCGATTCTTGGTCAGGGCACAAGCCTGGGTTGCAGCCTCAATCCCCAGTGAGGGGCGTGCAAGAGGCAATCAATTGATGCTTCTCTTTCATTGATGGTTTATCTCTCTCTCCCTCTCCCTTCCTCTCTATCTAAAACTCAGTAACACATATTAAAAAAAAAAAAAAACTATTGCATCCAGCTGGTGTGGCTCAGTGGTTGAGTGTCAACCCATGAACCAAGAAGTGGCGGTTCAATTCCCAGTCAGGACATATGCCCAGGTTGTGGGCCCAATCCCCTGGGGGGGTCATGCAGGAGGCGGCCAACTGATATTCTCTCTCATCGATGTTTCTATTTCTCTCTCTCATCGATGTTTCTATTTCTCTCTCCCTCTCACTTCCTTTCTCTCTAAAATCAATAAAGAAAAAAATAAAAACAAAACTATATTAAATGAGGTATAAAAGGAACAAATAAGATACTCATGAATTAGATAACTGGAAATTGATAGAGGGAAAAGAGAGGCTTAAATCCAGAATCAATTCAAAATAGAACACATCAGAGTTTTGATTTGAATAAATCTTCTGCATTTAAAATTACTTCCTATTAAGTATATTTGCAAATGACTCAGAGTTTCAAGAAGGCAGATATATTCACTGTTCTTTTAGTCAAAAAGAAGCTTGTTAATTACTTAAAACTATTCAATTACAATATGTATATATTGTATTAGCTTCCTGGAACAATAAATATAAGAAGTGAATCTCATAAAAAGGGAATAATCTCCTTTCTATGTAGCATATTAGGAGGAAAGAATACTCATTACATAAACCTGAAATGTATAAATCCACTATTATAGTTAGAGACTTCAAAACTATAGGCGATTCACAAATCCAGCAGACAGTAAATTAGTAAGGACATAACTGAACTAAAAATCACCCTCAATTTATTGAATCTAATTGATATGTATAAAATACCTCACCCAACAACAGTAAAATATACAT